GAACAGGAAATGATCAATTCGCCCTGCTTGTCCTATTCTGTGGGATCAAATACTTTTATCGTTATGGTCACAGAATCTGCAGACTTTGTATTACATATTAAAATCACAGTTAAGCAGGATAACACATTTCTGTTCTTTTGCTAGTTTGGTTTCACATTTTAATGCTTTCTAACTTCTATGAAGTGTCAAACATTTCTGTTTTAAGATAAGGAAGCATTTGTTTATGTTTCTGACCAAAACTCTGGCCCTGAAAGGGTTTTGATTAAAGCACATTCATTCAACACCCAATTGAAAAACAACAAGCTTGACTAAATGATTTATTGGGTATGTCTGATCTCGAAGACATTTGGATACTTGATTATATCAAAGGCTGCAATTTATGAAGTCCATTTTCCCCTAATCTAAAGACATGAATCTGTATTTTAGATGACTACTTACTGAATTAAATAAAGGAATCCAACAATAAATCCTATTTATTACACATGCAAGTACTCTCACATAAAGCTATGAATAATGACATGTAAAGAGTTCATAGAAAAATGAAACATGCTAAAGGTTAACTGCAATGTATCTTTTACCATCAAGAAATTTTCAAGACTTAGAATATTCTCGACAGAAGGTCAAAAGCAAGTATTTGTTCCTAAGAAACAGGCCACCACCTAAGCAATAAGATGTACAAGACTGGGCAGTGCCTAATTCCCAGGAATCTGAGCACACTACATGACACAAGCTCAGGTACCTCCATTCTTGGTGCAGGTAATTCAAGAAAATGGAACTGCCTTCCACTCTGGTTTACCCCCAGGTAACCCCAGCAGACCTTTGTTTCTGCAGAGCCACGTGTGTCAAAGACAGTACTTGCTCTTGCAGGGAGCCAGGCAGAGGATGCACAAGGCAGAGACAGCCAAAAGCTTTGTTTTCTGCAGGCAGGAAAATTCCAAAGACCTGTTTTATGTACAGAGTAAGAAAAAAACCTGGACATGTGATCCAACATAATGCCTGTCCTTAGTGCTTCATTCTGATCACAACCTCCTGAAAGTGTTCTCTTTTTTTTCCAAGAAATATTTTTTAAGAAGTGTCACTTTCCTTGAGTGTATTTGGAAATACTTTCTACCATTTTAATTCTGGTAAAAGAAAAACACATTACTACTTTAGTCCTTACATTTTTGTCTCAAGGAGGGAATAACTCCTGGTCTATATGTAAATTGGCAGGACAAAATCATCTCTCCCACTATGAGTTCTAGCTTTTCCTTTTATCTTCTTATTGTTTCCTTCTTCATCACTACTGAATTCTCTGAGCTTACAGGCACTTTAGGCATCAGCAATGGCATTTTCTCCTTTGGTATGCCAGTGAGGAAGAGCTGTATCTTCATGGGGGAAAGAGAACAAGGTGAGTTTTCCTCCATTCCCATTTACCTTGCAGGTGCCCTGTTGGAGCTCTCACAAGCAGATGGCTGAAAGTTTCCACGTATGACATGAGAGATCCCTCACTGCCTCTTCAGATGTCCCACTTTTCTCAATCACAAAGATGACCTTGGCCCTTTTAACACGTTATTTCCTCCCACTGAATTAGGTTTCATGACTGGGTTCAAACACTCCAATTTCCAGTAGGAGGGTTAGGAAAATCCACAGCAACCTCCAGCTTCCGTGCATGGGGCTCATACTTTCTCCATGGGCCGAGTACCAAATGAACAATTTAAATAAGATTCTAATGGAAACCCAAGTAACAGAAAGAAAGATGAAGGAAAATGGAATTCATAGATGCAACTGTTTATCCCTATCTATGTCTCAATTCTGACCCTTTGAAAAGGAGAGGCAGAAATCACAGCTCAATTCATGGCAGCAGTGATGGAGCGACACAGTGGCTGGTGCACATCTCATGCTGGATGATGCTTACAGTGTCCCTTCTATGCATTAATCCTCATGCTAATGGGAAATCTCACTCCTTGGAAATTTTGATAACTAGGCATTTACACTACTTATTCACATGTACTAAACAAAAAATGCACAGTGATGTTTGCCTGACTTCTTACTGTCCTTTGCATATCTATCTATCTTGCTCAGGTACTGTTTTATTTAGACAGATACAGTTGCTGTTGCATCTGCATGAAGCAGAGTAGCAAAGCAACCAGAGCCCATGTGCTATAGTGATGGCAAGAATAGAAAGGCCTAGAAAGTAGTCTGTCCTCTCAGCAAGAATTCCTTGCTCTGTAACAGCTCAAATCAGTCTGCTGCTGTTCAGCATATTCGGTAAAGTCCATCAGCTTCTGCAACATGTTAAAGGGGCACAGGTTTGCAGATGTACCTATGAGCCTCTGTATTGTAACCAGTGGTTAATCAGGCAGTTAAACTGAGCAGTTTGCTTTGGAAACTTCCAAAAATCCCCTACAATGAAGTTGATCTATTAAGTGCATTGGGGGAGAACTGATTTTTATCTATTATATTGTTTTTTAGAAGCTGTATTAAAGACAGGAAAAACTTCAACAACCATGTTACTCCAAAGTGCTCTGGAGCCCCTCTAAAGAGATGAGATGCCAGCATCCCCCTTCTGCAGTCTTCCTGGGGCACTAAAGAAGAGCAGATCCCCTCAACTACCCACCTGCCAGCCGCTAACCAGTCTATAGACAGCACTGAAATAGATAATCTTCCTTGCTAGCCAGGAGGCTTGCTGGAAGGTGAAAGTAAAACCTAAAGAGCACTTCAAAGTTGAGTCTGACTTCAAAAAGCCCTGCTGGGGGACCTGCACCTGCAGCTTTTCATGTTTTTATGCAGTGTTTGTTTATCATTAAACCATTCGCTCAGCCAGCTCTGCACAATAAGCCCTTTAATGGATCATAGGCTGAAAGAGTTCAGCCTGCAGACATAAAAAGTAAAAATGTAATCTGTCTTTCTAAAAGAAAGCTTTGATATACCTTAAACCACTACAGTTTTACAGGTTGTTACATATTCAACCTTTCTTCCTTCCTGTGGGCTTTTCAAGACTTAATAAATCTGTGAGCTCCTATTGACCAAGCACAGCAGGTGCGTGTACTAGAACATCTCATTGGAGTCTAGGATGAGGAAACCAGTTCTGAAAATCTACTGTTGGAGCCCAATGTGCAGAGTCACACAGGAAATTCTTCTTCTCACACGTGTAAGTGTAAGAAGCTCTAACTGTAGAAATGTTTGCAAAACTTTCAACCAGCCTGATCCTCAGTGAATCGGTGAAACTTCTGATTTATACATTACGGACTTGACTCAATCTCATTAGATTCCAAAAAAAATAGATTGAAGTATGTAAAAAGCTTTCTTGGCTATCTGCCCATACTTGTTATATAGCCTCCATTACCATAGTATTGGAGTGCTTCATAATTTTTATCATATTTATATTCACAGTACCCTAGGGGTGGAGAAATGCTGGTTTCTTCTTTTTATAGGCTGGAAACTGCAGCGTTGAGAAACAAGAGTCTGATCCATTAAAGAATACCGAACCTATAAGGACTAGGCTCCAAAACTGAGACACTCAAACTTACACCTCTAACTGCTCCTGAAAACCCACTGAGTCCTTACCCAAAAGTTTATTTCCAATATTTGGTGCCATCATAGAACCATAAAACGGTTTGGGTTGGAAGACACCTTCAAAGATCATGTAGTCCAACCCTCCTGCAGTGAGCTGGGACATATTCAAAGAGACCAGCTTGCCCCGAGCCACATCCAGCCTGGCCTCTAATGTCTCCAGTGCCATTCACCACATCTCTGGGCAACCTGTGCCAGGATTTTAACACCCTCATCGTAAAAAGTCTTCATGTCTAGCCTGAATCTCTCTTCTTAGTTTAAAACCATCACCCCTCTTCTTGTCATCGTACCTTCTGCGTACCAGAGTGCTGTAAAAATCACCCATCAGAAGGTCAATGCTGAGGATAAAAATCAGATGCTCTGAAATTATGAAAGCAGCTCAAGTCAGAGGATCCTGTTTAGGGCAATGGGATACATCCACATTATTTATCTTAACAAATAGGCGTTTCTGGACCATGTAGAAATCTCCTGACTTTCTCCCTTGGCATCAGCAGCACCCAAGGCCAGCATGAGTCTACTGGAATATTTTAAACTTATCTTACCTTCTCAGACACTTAGTGGACAAAAGTAACAGAAAGTTATAGATGAAAGGAATATTATGTGGTTGTGTGACTGTCACATAATGGAACACTCTCTCTGAGTAATTGCATAAAAAGCAATTTTGTGGGTTTTACTGGATAACTCAAGATAATTTAAACCTTCATAAAAAGATAGTGAAAATAAAAAATAACTCTTTTACAGGAAGACAATTCCTCACACAAGGAGTGCTAGAGGCACATCTATGAATGTGTTTTCATTTTAACTTTTTCAGAAAACATTGAGACATTTTAAAAGGAGAAGCTTTTGTTCAGACAACCCAATTATTTATATCATAGCACACATGTTTTGAATGCTGTGCACATATGATGTGTAGCCGCATTTGGTATGCAATTGCCATACATAGCACAACGGAAAGGAAAAGCCCTGTTCCAAAAAATATTCCCAGCCACATATGAAAAGGGAATAGAAAAAGCTTCTTTGTGCATGAAGTCTCTCTCCTTGCTACTGTATTTACCATTACATCAGCTACCTCCAACTCATACACTTACCAATTGAAATCAGACAAGTTGTTGCTCCAGATACTCCTGACAGAGAACTGTTGCAGAGCCACACCACGATGTCATCACTGTCCCCTAAAGAGCCAAATTCTTTCTTTGGAAGAGGAGCAACAGAATCAAGAGATTCAGCCACTTATCCCCGTCTACCTAGCATCTCATTGGCTGATCTGAAGAGTCCATCTTGTATCTCCTGTATCCCAGCCCTCTGCTTAGCCAAGTAATAACAGAAGTTATTGAAAATGCCACTGAAGATGAAAGCACTGAAAACAGCCTGAGACAGAAGTGTCCAAATTGGTTTGGGCTGTTCGGTTCTCTGATTTAGTTTAGTTCCTTTAGTTTTCCCTCTTTAGTTTCTTTAGTTTTCCCTTTTAAAGGAATGATCAACATAATTTCTTTCTTAAGGTGAGGATTTTGTGAGCAGTGCTATTGTTAATCTTGCTAGGGAAAAACACCCCAAGCAAACAATGACAAGCATAATTCAATTCAGTTCTCGCAAAACCCATATACATGGCAGTGAGCCACTTTCTGATCTCATATATGCTGGGGCAAAGCCATAGCAACAGCACTGCTGAAGCACAAGAGCAGATCCTGCTGTGTAGAAGCTGAGCAGCCAGTGCAGCCTCCCTAGACGATGGTTTGCAGTTCCATGCAAATAAACTTTCTCAGCAAATGAAAATGATCTAGATTACTACTTGAGTCTAGCAGCAATGTATTTATGCATCACTGAGAGATCTTCTTGTCTCATTTAGGAATTTTGCTGTTAAGATTTCCAAGCAAATTCTAGAAAACGCAGGCATTGGTTTGATTTAGACTTTGATACTGTACTAGAAGGTTTCTTCGGAAAGCAGGCCATGAGACACCAGGGTACTTACACACTTGCTTCAAACAGATGTCAGCAAGACTTCCAGGTGCTGGGATGCAGAACAATGTCAGGGTCAGGCTCACAGTCCCTACGCTCCTTAGCACAGCAGCTTGGCTAAAGGCTCTGCGCTGAGCTACCAAGATGCTCCTAAGACTGAGTATACTGTCTTGGACAATGACTGGTGTGAGCTGGGAGATGTTCTGGGGAGTGCAAGAGTGCTCAGTGCTGAGTCAGACAGAGGGTGAATGACTCACCCAGGACCATCAATGAAAGACAATATTTCTTCTCTCCAGGCTGCCCTTGTGAGCGCTTTTGAGAGCAGGGACCCTTTGCATCTTTCTAGACAGCAGCTGAACAGTTTTTAACAGCATAGAGTTTCAAAAGGCTGCTCTTTCTCAATGTTTCTCTTGTAGCAGATGCTTTGTTCTGTGCCTGGAGCACAAGACCCCATGTGTGACTGCAGCAGCAACAAGTGCAGCAGGAACCACAGAAAAGGCTGGATGTAAAAAAGTGTGGCGTTTAGGAAGGTAGGCTGGCTGCTGAAACAGCTAACAGGACAGACTATCTCCCACTTTAGCACAGCAAATGACTGCACACTTGCTGCCCTCCATGACTCTCCAAACCAGAGTGACTTGGTGTTGGCTCTAGGTCTGGGTGGGAAGAGTGAGCAGGTCATTAAGTACAAGCAACCATTAAGTGAATATGTCTAATAGAATAAGTTATTTTTCACACTTCACTCTTTCAAGAAATCAAGCTTGTGTATCATTGCAACAGAAGAAACCACAAACATGCTCAAGAGACACAGGTACTGTCATTAACTTTCCATTCCCTACCCCCTCGCTGAGCCTCTCAGTAGTCACTAAATGATGGGCTTACCTTCCAGGCTCTTTGCTCCTAAGACCTTGCACATACTTCCCTGTGTTTTAAAATATGCAGCTCATATGCATCTCAGTCCATCCTCTCAATTCAAACCATCTTCCAGGCTTGCAAAGGTGGTAACTTCTTTTCAAATAGCCTCATTACACTGACATGTAGCATTTGCTCATGTGTGTTTCCATCTACCCAAAGAAAGCATGCCATCTGTAAATTCAGTAAGAACAGGAGAGCTACATAAGAAACAGAAAAACAAGGAACTGAAGAGGACATTTGAGTCACAAACAGGCCTGTAAAGCACAGCTTCAGTCCTAAGCTTACCAAAACACCTGAAACACCTCATACACCCCCCCTAAGGTACCTATCTGACATCATTTCATGACCCATTTCAATTGACAGGTCTGCAGAAAAGTCTTTTATTCTCAACTGTCAGGTTTAAGTCAGACTGAGTAGTAGGCAGCTGCAAGAAAGTTGACTGTCATTCAGGACCTAATGACATTTAGGTTAGAGGCACCAAATGTCATTATTTGAGACAATCCTAAGAACTGAAACATGTCCTACCTTTCTGATAATACTTGGATGTTATTTTGCACCAGATTTTAGAGGTGGCGCAAAGAACAAGAAATTTGCTTGCATAAATTTAATCCAGAACAGAAGAAAGGGTGTCTCCATGCAGGCTGTGGCCCTAGCATGTACCTGTGCTTTGTAACACCAGAGACCTCTAATCTTTCCATGAAAACCCATAAGGGGGCATTCAGAGAATGTCATCTTGGTCCCTATGCTGACAGCGAGCACATACTCAAGCCTGGGCAGTCAGGGGAGAGAGAAGAGGACATCTCATGCTTCTTGCAACCTCTTTTCTTTAATCTTCTCCCTTAATTTTGATAGATTTGCAAGTGTGCATTTGCTGTGGGTCACACCTACCCACTAACACATCTTTGGGATCCAAAGAGACATTAGCAAGTTTGCATGGATTACAGCATTTTTCTTAGAGAAGGCACAAATAGTTGACATTATAATGGTATCCTTAACATTCATAAACATCGTTCATTCTAAGAATAGTAACAAGAACAGAAATTTGGAGTGGGAGCTTATAAAATTTTATCAGTTTTGTCATCTCTTTGGAGAAAAAACTGCCAACTGGCCTCAATGCGTCATCCAAGGGTATGGTAAATGCTGGAAAGTAGATTTTCCAAACAGTTTTACTCCAGCCTCCTCCTTAGAAATCTGAACAATTTCCTGTTGCTCTCTCTTTGAACAGCAAAGCTGGAGTGTATCACCAGAGGTATAAATTCTCTGGTTAATTAATGAATTAGCTAATTGCACTTGGCTGTGATATCTTAGCATTTAAGTACAAAGCAGCATCATTCAGTTATAAATAGAGCCAACCAGAGTACAGCATGTATACATTTGCATAAAGGATCTTAAGAAGGTGATGAGTAATAATTAGTACTGGAAGATGTGCGGTTCATTAAAATCAAAATTTATTGCAGATAAGCGGTAGAATTTGGGGAAAAAAGCCCAAAGTGGACGGTGTTGAGCACTGTTAGCCATAAAGGGCACATTTTGCAACCAAGAGTCAAAATTTAAATCCAAACTCACTTTGATTCAAAGTCCTTTAGCTGTTGCTGCTTGGTTGCATGCCGTGTGGCTCCAAACTGGTTATTGTCCAGACTAGTGAAGAGCAGCTTGCCAGACAGCCCTGCCATGCAGCCCTTTCTCCAGTGAGAGGCAAATCTCTAGACACCATTACCTGCATAGCATCCCAACATCCCAGCACAGCCGATAACACCCCAAAGTTGATGGCTATCGGTCTGTGTTCTTTGCTTCATCAATACATTACACAGAGCCTTCATAGGTCAGTCAAGCTTGCAGGTTTTTTTTAGGTAGTCTAAAACTTAGGTACTCCATGTTCAGTAATGCAATGTACACATTCCCTTAGGTCTGTAATCTTAATCACCCTTCTAATATTGTGCTGTTGATGTGGGATTTAGGTTTCTTTATCACTTTTGTTCTTATCTCTGCTGCTTGAGTGAGTAAATGCTTTTGGATCGATCCAAGTCACTGTTCTTTTTCTTCACAGCCTAACACCCATCTTTATTCTGTGCATCTCTCTCAAGAGAGGATTAGATGGTAGATTTGCCTCACTTTTACACAACAGGTAAACACAGAGAATATAAAAGAGCCATTCAGCTGAAATGGCTTACTTCTCCCTTTGTGCCTTTTTCTCAGGACACCATATTTCTAACCTACAGATCAACCCTTGGTAAAGGCCTATGCTGAAAGTAAGGTATGGCATAAGTGAACATGAGCTTCTTGGGACTCATGCATCTGCTCATTCTCCCAACTGCAGAGGTACACACCCATCTAATAAGCAAAACATGCATCCACGCTGCTTGCCATTTGCATCTGTAAGTTAAGAAACATAGATCACCTTGAAAAAAAAACTAATAAAATGACAAAGCTACATTAGTAAATCTGTTTCATTGTGGTGGTATTGAATTCACAGCGAGGGAATCAAAATATTCAAAGCTGGAGAATCAAATTTGTCAAGATAAATTGTTTCTCAATATGAAGAACTTGCTCAGTGAGAGGAAAAGCACCATGGATTTCCCTTCCTCTGGGACGCAGGACAGCCCTGCAAAAGGCTTTGACAGTGTTCGCTAGGATGAGTTCCTTAGAAATTCTTTTGAGTATTGAACACAGCCCCTTCATGGAGGGTTGATGACACACTGCATGGTTACTAGAGTATCCTACTTCAGATACCAAAATTACACTCCTACACTGGAACAAACCCAGCTAGGAAATTAAGAGTTTCATTGTTACCACTAGATGTACATTATTGTTAACCTTTATCTGAAAATACATGATCATTTATCATTATCTTCAATAGTTCTGCAGTGTGAAGTAAGCTGAGGCAGCCAGTGATCCACACAAAGTGAAGGAGCACGATGTTCCGATGTAGTTTCCCAGAATCTGAGGTGCTCAATAACAAATTGGAGCATGAACTCATTGTCAGCTTTCTAGAAAAATCCCAACCTTTTCAGCTGACAGCCTGAGAGGAAAAAAGAAACACACAGGAAAACAAGAAATTCAAATATCTCACATGGTTTCTGACTGCTTGAAGATGGTCATGTTTTTGACTGTTTGAAGATGGTGATGTTTAAATACACGGCTCATCAAGAAAAATTGTCTCATTTTGTTTGGAGCACTGCATTTTCCTCCTTCTGGTAATGTGTACTGTTTCTATTGCAGATCCCCGCATTGCAAGATGGTCCTTTGTTCCCTTGTTTCATTTTGAGAAACAGAACAAACTCACTCACGCCCTTTGGGGAGCTATTTGTTCACAGAGTTTTTGAGGCAAACCAGAAAGCGCAGACTTGCTCAAATTTAATTTGGAAAACTAGAAATAACTGTTCCTTCAAATATGTAGGGGAAAAATAGACTGCACCTTTCTAATATGTGAGAATATAAGGAAAGGTGGAATCTAACTAGAATGCCCTTGACCAGCTCCAGATGCGGTTAATCCAGTTTTGTAAGTGGGATTCTTGGCTAAGCTCACTAGAGACACAAGAGTGAGGCATGAAGGTGAGAGACAAACATTTTAGTGTTCTTTAGACAGGAAAGGTGTCAAAGTCAACATCCTACCTTATTAAGTGGCCAAAGATTTAACCCAACAAATAGAAACCTTGTATGACACAATCCCATTTTGTTTACTACATAGATGTTCTGTGTAGCTCCCTGAGTAACTAAGAAATCAAAGAAGCAAATAACTTCAGCTCTGATGTGCCAAATCCTTATCAATGTAAAAGCTTTAAATTCCACAACACCACAGATGTGGTCAACAGAATTAGAGCTCTTAGTAAGAGGAAATAGAACATAGATTGTAACTGGCTTTAAGGCTTTCCGCGGATCCAAAGGCATGGATCCCATCATTCATCACAGTAGGAATGGTAAAGCTTTTTCTTTCAGAAAGATAAGGATTTGGGTTTGAGTTTTCTTTGCATTGTTACTACGTAACAGCTTTGATATTTGCCCAGGTCTTAAGCTTCAAGGCAAGTTATCTTTAGAGATATAACCTATTATATCTCTGGAAAGACAGTGATTTAGAATTTAAAATAACTTTCCATTTTTTCTCTGTCTGTCCTTCCCTTTCCTTCCAATACAGTATTTGTCCACAAAAGTGCAGATTAATATTAGGCAAACATCTTAACTAGCCAACATTAGTTAATTTCAACGCATACATATCACTCCAGTCCAATAATATGACTCTATGTAGTTTTTACTGATGAAAGCACAGTCTGACCTTAAAGAGATACATTCCTTCCTATTACTAGAAACTTTGTGGTTCTGTAGGAAAGAGAGTAAACATCACAGGGTTATTAAATTTCTACCTCTAAGTACAGCTGTGAAGAATGGGGACTTAGCAACCAGAAGCAGAGGAGCACAAGATGTTCCGTCCTAACAGAGCATTTTGCAAGGAAATACGAAAGCTCATCTCAACCTGTAACATCTAGGGCAACGCAGCTGATCTCCACAAACAGCTCCAAACAGGAAATTACCAGATTTAAAAACCTAATGTGTCTTACAAATATAACTCAGCCCCTCACATTCCTTGACATTTGTCTCCTTACCATGACCATTTAAATCCAATTGGATTTAAATGAGTAATCTCAGCTTTAAAAGGTTGGTTCGATATTTATGGTGGTTATTAAGGTTGAGGAGTCAAGAGATGAGAACACTAATTTCCGCAAGCACATTGCCTGACATTTGAACAAGATTGAAAATTCTATCAGTATGACACATTTTTCTTAGCAAAAAGTTCATGTAATTTCTCAGACATTAATCAGCAAGTCAATCCTGAATGACAAAGAAATTACAACAACCTGGATCCTCTACGCCATGTCATACAGTCTCACTTGAGTGTTCAGGCAAATGGGAGTTACAGATAATACAGCAGAACACAAATCCAGTATATCCTCCTGTACAGACCTCAGATCTGATTGGGGAAACTATATGGGAATCTGATTAATTGAGGAAATAAACTCAAGGATGCAGCCAAGTGACTGGTCATAAGAAGCCACCACATAGGCACAGGAAAAGGAGTAAATGGGCTGGGGGCCAAGAGAACCTGCTGCAACAAGCTGTATCCATGTTTTCACTAAGGCAGTGTGAGGTATGGGAAAGGAAGGACTACTCTGGGCCCT